CCAGCTCTAAGGTTGCAGCTGAGCCTGACCTCTGACCTGGCTGGTGGGGGCTACTTAAGAATATTTCCCTGTGGAGAACAAGTAAAGTGGTGCATTATTTGTATTGTTGTAAGTGGAGTGTGGAGTAAACGAGTAAAAGCACCTGTTTCACTGGGTACCACGGTTGCACTCTGGGGATGTTAATGATGCCCTGTAATGTAACCCAGCTCTCTAGTGCCACCCACTGACTATTCTAGACAGCACAACACAACAGCATGAGGATTGGAAAGTAGAACCACAACCAAAGTAAGCTTCAGATAAGCTATTACCCCAGTTTCCATTGTTATTAGCAACGGGATCTACCATCAAAGTTACATCTTCCTTAGAAGTGATATTAATAGTGGGAAAATAATCTAGAAAGACTACATAAACTAGAATTATTTCATAAGAATTAGTGATGTGTTGCCACACAGCAGAAGTTAGTGTACAGCCTTTAATTAGGCCTATTTGTTTTTCTATATTATAATTAGTCCAGTATCATTATTATTATTGTTGTTGTTGTTGTTATTCTTGGGGTTTTATCAGTATTGTTACTAGTTTGACATTAGGAAAAATCTTGAGCTTTGGAAGCTTGCCAATGAATCAGCACAGTTGAGCAGCGCCACCAAGTGGACCTGAGGTGGTAGTTACAGTCCTGAAGAGAAGACCAAAAGGGCGAAACCTCAAAAACTTCACTTACTTTATTATATTTTCATTTTATTTTACTTGAATAAGGCCAAGGCACTGCTTTACTCAAAAGTCTTATGCCTGTATTTGCTACTGATAAAATGATTCTGAGACGTATTTTGTTCGCAAATTCCAACTGTTTACGATCGTTATTGCGCTGACATTTGTAATTGCAATATGTGTTTGATAACCCACTGAAAGCCGTAGATTTTACAGATATATGAATGAAGTAGACTTGGACTCTGAGCCCACTGGTGGGTTGGAAGCTGTAGTACATTATGTCCAACGTCTGCAGCCAACTTGGCTTCGTTTTGGATCATATTGCTTTTCCGTCTCAGATCTCCGTCCACGGGACATTTGTGATGTTCCACATGTCAAGTCAGACAAAATTAGATTTCCGGTTTGATGGCGATTTCAGAACAAAATTGACTAAAACATGTTGTTCCTTTTTTGCGCAAGTGGTGGCATCTTATTTTGAAAGAAAAGTACTGTCCGTCCTAACTCGAGTTAACTTGACGCAGGTTTTCAACAGGTGCCAAAAATGAATGTGCAGCAAAACTGTCAGTGGGCTGAGAGGAAAAGGCCAGTGTTAAATAAAATAAAACAAAACAAAACAAAACAACAGCAAGTTGTGTGTAATGGTTTAACTGAATGCCTTCTTTCCATACATTCATTGGATCAGAAAAAAAGGTTCCTCAGGCATCCGACCTCTGACCCAGAATCAGCAGGTGGAATTTCACCCTGCAGTGACCTTCACCTTGGTCTAATGAAAATATGCTTCAATTTGTGTTAGCCTAAAAACATGATTATATGAGAAATATAATGAGATGAAGGAAATTATGTGTGCATGTGTATCTGTATTTGTCAGGATTATACTTTGAAATGTTAAAAATTGTCAATATTCTTTAGGATGACTGTTAAAAGTGTCCCACAGCTTATCCCATTTAAGATACACTACATTGAACTCCTTTCTTCATTTTAAGGCATCTGGAAACTCAATTGACCAACAAGTGTATGTTTGGATGATGGATGAGAAGGCTGTCAACCAGCAGAATTTAAGGAAAAACACTTTATAATGATCATGATTAGATTCAATTACATTCAAACTACGTTTTTATAGTAATCAAATTACACATATTGTGTCCTTTAAACGTCCCCGGCTTGGCCCCGTCTTGACTTCAGGAACATGGCGCACGTTTGAACTTCGACCTCGGATATTTATTCAGCCTCCTTCATCTGTTTGACAAAATGCAAATCCATCACTCAAAATTCTCGCGATAAATGGCGCCGATATATTAGGACAGATGGGGGGGTCCTCGTCCACTTGGAGGGGCGTTGGGTTTCCTAGAGGACCTTGTTGAGGATTGAAACAGTCAGGGGTGTCAAATCTGCACAAGAAACAACCAACCATGTCGGACGCGGTGATAGGTTTTATGAAGGACTTTTTGGCAGGTGGTGTTGCCGCTGCCATCTCCAAAACAGCTGTCGCTCCCATTGAGAGAGTCAAGTTGTTGCTGCAGGTAACATAATTGAACCAGTTGTTGGTCCAAGCATGGCCGCATGTCCATTGCTTTGTGCGTAAAGTGTGCGTAAATGTTGGGTTTCTGATAAACCAAACGTTAAGATGTGAAACTAGATTAGTTTTAATAGGAAAAAAGTGAAAATGTGCACAGTGTGAGTTCATGTGGTCCGGTTCATAATGTCAGAGGGCACATGAGAGCTGCTGCGTCAATGGGGAGATGATTTTACGCACTGGACTTTGCAATGCTGCAGCTGTGATGGCGATGATGACACGGAATCCTAAAATGTGTGTTCAATAAAAGGGCAATAATACTAGTTTATGAGCGATTGGTACGTCTATTAAGTTAATTATTACTCCAATACAACAGATGACCGCAGTAATATTTGGGTGAAATTGAATTGCTAATTTTAACTTGAAGAATGTAATCTAATACACAGCTGATTCTCAAGTGACAGGAGTGTGCATGCTAGGCCTACAACTACACACAGTAGAGGCAGGTCGGAAAATATTAAACATTAAGGATATTAAACCCAAGAAGTCATTAAAATTGGAATAAACAACATTATATTATGTTGTTAATAGAAAACGAGCCATATCAAAGTTCCTTTGCACAAAGTTCTACGAGAGAATGAATCACATTTTGGGGTAGTTACCGTCTTTTTAAAGAGTTTTTATTGTCTTTACTTGCAGGTCCAGCATGCCAGCAAACAGATCACTGCAGAGATGCAGTACAAGGGAATCATTGATTGTGTGGTAAGAATCCCGAAGGAACAGGGTTTTATTTCCTTCTGGAGAGGCAACCTGGCCAACGTGATCCGTTACTTCCCAACCCAAGCCCTCAACTTCGCCTTCAAAGACAAGTACAAGAAGATCTTCCTCGGTGGTGTGGATCAAAAAACACAATTCTGGCGTTACTTCGCTGGTAATCTCGCATCCGGCGGTGCCGCTGGTGCGACTTCGCTCTGCTTCGTCTATCCTCTCGACTTCGCCAGAACAAGGCTCGCTGCCGACATCGGCAAGGGCGCAGCAGAGAGAGAGTTCAGCGGTCTTGGAAACTGCCTCACCAAGATCTTTAAAACCGATGGCATTAAGGGTCTGTACCTCGGATTCAACGTGTCAGTGCAGGGTATCATCATCTACAGAGCGGCCTACTTCGGATGCTTCGACACAGCTAAAGGTGCGCACATCTGGTCGTCATTTCAGGTCAAACATTTAAGTTTGTGTGTATTTTCTCTCGTGACGAGCGCGTGACTTTTCTTCTCCCTCCAAACAGGTATGCTGCCAGACCCCAAGAACACGCACATCGTCATCACCTGGATGATCGCCCAGACTGTCACCGCCGCAGCTGGCATCATCTCATACCCCTTCGACACCGTCAGACGTCGTATGATGATGCAGTCTGGACGCAAAGGAGGTGAGCGTCACTAGTGGTTGTAGAACCACGTACTTAGAGTGATGTATTTTATTCGTTTGGCGCAATTACGCATGCATTTTGGGCATTACGCATCACTATCCGTGTCTCCATTTCCACAGCTGACATCATGTACAAGGGCACAATCGACTGCTGGAGGAAGATCCTCAAGGACGAGGGATCAAAAGCCTTCTTCAAGGGTGCCTGGTCCAACGTGATCAGAGGCATGGGTGGCGCATTTGTGTTGGTGCTGTACGACGAGATCAAGAAGTTCACATAATAAACTTTCTAATCTCTTAGTCCCCAAGGAAACCCCTTCACTTTGTTTAAGTCTTAATTCTTGTGATAGAGTGATAACAGCTTGTGGTGAATAAATTACAATGTGGGCATGTATTCTTCTGCGACAGCCCCGGGACAGGTAGGTATACCTGACCTGGGTTATCATGCCTCCTCAGAAATCTGTATATATCCCATCTGCGACGTGTCAAAAGGAACAAAGTCTTTTAATGTGACAAGGTCAAGCCAGTGTTTCAGTGGAGACGTTGTGATGATGCGAAGGATACCAGTCATATGCTCTTCAGGTTAGACAGTTTGTAAAGCAGTTGCTGAGGCCCATGTGTTATGTTGTGACCACTCTGACCTATTTGTGCCACCTCACACATTATTTTATTAAGAATAAAGATTTATTAGTGTAATAGTCTTTTTTTTTTTTTTAATGTATGTATGTATGTTGTCGTGGCAACCTGTCATCTGCAGTTAAACAGGCCCTTTTCACAGCAGACGTTTTGACTTTGGCTCTGTTATAAGTGTCCAAGTAACTCATTAAAGTTAGACAATGAGCCAGCATGCACAATACCAGAACCCTGAAACTGAAGCAGCTAATTGGAATTCAGCCATTATTGATTTTATTATATACACACATCTGTTTACTTTGACATTTTAAAATGTCTTCTCTATTTAAGAACCTCATGCAATTAACACACCGAGTGTTCTATTAAAATATCAACAATCTTTTAATTGGAAAAATGATATCCAGTAACTGCACCCTGGTGGTAGATTACAACCATAAAGCTAAAATGCTTTTACCAGGGTCATTTTTGGTTCTCTAAAGAATCTTTTAAAAATGTGCAAAATATTCAAAGCCATGAGCACAATAGAAATATATGAAGTAGTTTCATATATTAACAATACAAAAAAGCTATTGTGTGTACCAATTGTTGCATGTGCTCAATTGGTACAAGTATGTTTTAGGAGAGATCAGGCAAATATTTGTTCACCATTCTGGTTGTAAAATTGCTCACTACTAACTGGTGGAACAAGCAGCTTTATTTTATAGGGAGCAGCATATAGAAAACACCAAAATAATATTTTAAATAATTTTAATTATTGCATAATAAACTGTACACATGTAATTAAAGCGGACAGACAGAAAATTGCAGATTTAATGGAAACAGTCACTGAAATAATAATGTATTGTCAGTCATGTCAACATGGCTGTGGAATTATAGGCCATATTTCCTACAAAAATACAGTGTTACTGCAGTATTCAGAAGCCACAACTGAACCATTCAAATGCATTACAATAGCACTGAGCTAAAAGCATCATTTGCTATATTTCGGCATCAAAGAGTAGAGAAAAAGACCATTTTCTTTACAACTGATAAACATGACAATACAAAGCACTGAATAGTTGATAAAGTGAAGATCATTTAAGCTTAGTACCTTCCAAAATGAGCCTTTTGTAATGAATATATACCAACAGATACCACTAAAGGGAACCAGCGATGAGCTTCTTTGTAGATTAGGTATTTGAAAACCGCAGTGTTCTCAGCACCAGGCTGGTCGGGCAGCACTCAGTTTGTTTGACCTTGGTATGGATGTCCTGCTAGAGTTGGTGGTGGTGGAAACTGCTCTGGAGCTGTTGTGGGCAGAACTGACAGGCCTGGGACCTGCTGGTGTGGACAACAGAGAGATATTTCATGATTACATATTTACCTTTACTTAATAAGAACAGAAACCTAACAGAAACGATATTTAAAATTTTTAAACCAAATTTCCAATGAGAACATTTACATTTAATATTTGAACATTTCAACCATAACAAACACACACAGGCACAATGGTGTTTATCAGAGCTGGTAAAGCAGTTGGTTCTACTGTTGGCAAATGATTTAAAGTTTGCCTCTTAAACCCAGCAAGGACATAAAGTTTACAGCAACTAGAAAAAATATTTAAAACTCTTCAATCAGTAAATCAATTAAAATAAACATAACAAAAAGGTTTAGTATGAGAGGTGGAACAACCATAAATGAATGAATAATTCTTACCAGTATCAGTCATCCACAGCTGCTTTTTACTAACTGAAAGTCTTCTTATGTTAAATGAATCTCTGCAGCCATCAGCAGGTCAGACATGTGTGATAAAACTGCAGCCTTCAATTTGAGAGGAGCGTCACAGCGCAGTGCCGCTTGCAGATCCTCTTTCTTTCCCTTGATTGAATCATTACATGCAAACAACACCAGGCTGAACTACACACACTTCTGCAGGGGGCAACCTGCTCTTGTGGAATCAGTGAGGGTTGGGTGCACTGGTGCTTTTACGCTGTGCAGCTATCGCACAAGGTGTACTAAGTTACATACCTGAGGGAGTCTTGCTAGTAGAGCTCTCTTTCTTTGTGCTGGACATAGAGATGGGGTATGAAGGAGCTCCCAGGTATCCAACTTGTCGCTGGTAGTCTGCCAGTTGTTGCGAACGCTTTAGGCCAGGTGTAGGCTTGACGGACTCCAGCCTCTTCAGGAAAGCCTGAAAGGGACACAATGACATTTGTGCTAATTATCCTTTTACACAAACACAATTTTCAGGATATCAGTCATGTACACCTTGGAAAAATGTTGGCATATACATAAGGTTACTCTCCAGAGCTTTCCTCGGGAAGCTATCCATCATTTTGAATATAAAAGTGCTTCAAAATATGTGCTCTTAAAGCCATCAGTGCCTCTGAGAGTGTGTTATGCCAGAATTCAGCCATAAAACATAACAATGCAGCAAGGCTCACTAACAGGAATTTTATGTGAATGATGTAGGTTTTTCTCCCATTTGAGTCATTGAGTCATTTCCTGTACTTTACTGTCTTTTGACCCACGACATCTGAAACACAATTTTAACATTTAAGAAGTGTTTATAACATTTATATAATAAACATGTGCTTCGCTCAGAAATGAAGCACACATAGTCCTCATTCTACAAATCCCTATTGGGTTATGAAAATAGAAAAATATCTGGTACATCACAGCAAACCCAACCAAACAGCATGAGGCCAAACATTGTAGGCAAATGGCTGAATGTCATACATACAGTCACACTCCCACATGCATGCTGTGCAGAAATCCCTCAGTAAGCACAAACTCTACGTGAAGAAACGCAACAAGCAAAAAGCTCAACAACCAAGAGACTGTTCTACTCAAGTTCACAAATCCTCCAGAGGTTATAAAAAGGCACTGCAGACCTCTATTTGCAGTCGGACAAACTACAGCCTTTTTGAAATCTCTTCAAACAAAATCTAGCCCTCTATATTCACTTCTTTGATAGAAAATTAAGATATATTGTGTAAGTGACCAATCTTTAAATACACAGAAGTCGCTTTACTTGTGCAGGACAAACGGGGTGTCTTACATGTGTGATGTGTGGGGTACACTGATCACACGGCAGATTCAATTACTTCACTCTAAGAATAGAGAAGGCGCAGAAAAGCTCTCCTGACAACGTAGAGAGAGGGACTCAAGAGACAGAACAGTCTGTCTGAAAATGACTTGAACACATTCCCTGATAAAAACAACAATCAGGATTCATGTAAGATCTCTATTCAGCAATAATGAGAAACATACTAATACAAATATCAGAGAACAAATGAACGCATGTTTTCTGTCAACACTCATCAGAGGAGACATAACACTCCGCTGGCTGCCAATTATAATTTCCTGAATGGTTTTTAAACACTGCTGCTTGTCTCGCCCTGTGTTTCAATCAATCATAAGTGGTCAGGCAGAGTTAATATATGGGGTGAGAGGCTAAAGCTGCACATGAACTAATGTCACTGTGCTGCTGCAAGCCTGCCACCTGCTGCCATCTGTCCAAGTCCATCCGTGTCTGCTTTCAGGGGTGGCACTCTTAGGCTGACACCAACTAACTAGTTCCTATCAAACTAGTATCCTTAAATAAATGTACACTTCAGCAGGCATATAGCTATTAAAGTGATATAACTGCAGACAATCACAGAAGTTACTAAAATATGTTAATCAGTTACATTATTGTGAGAATTATGACTGAATGCTCCAACTACTTAACTTGCAGATTGTCCCAGAACATTTTCTTTCTGTGTCTACAACAGCTGATTAAAAGTACATCTTCAGATTTGAAGAGGTGCAGTTTGTAACATTGTGTGAATCAATAGCACTGAGCTACAGCTAATGAAGCATACACTTAAAGCACACAATTAGATTGACATGAATACATACATCTTTACTTAAGTTTAGTGTCTATATCAAAATGAGTCTCAATGCACACAGGAGGCAAAACTCACCAGGTTCTCCCTCTCGATGCGTTGCTGTTCCCGCTGCCTGTTGAGTGCGCTATGAGAGGGGCGAACGAGTGGCGAGTTACTGGCCATGTGGGTTTTCTTCCCCACTGTACTTCCTGGTGTGGGCGCTGGAGAAAGGCGTGAAAGCTCCCGAAGAAGGCGCTGGTTCTCGCGGTCTATGCATCGGACCTCATCATTAGTGAACGAGTAGTTCTTCCTGTTTCTTCCTCCAGGACAGAACACCAGTTTACCTCCAAGCTGACTCTCTGAACTGAGAGAACCTGATTGAGGAAAAGGACACTTGTTCCATTATCTTGAATCAGCCTTTTAAAAGAGAGTTACTGTGTTTTATGCAATGTTTAAATGGTTCTTTTACTTTATAGAGAACAACTAAAACATGGGAAAAATGAAATATACAAAAACAGTCCTGTAATGTGCATGGACATTCCTGAAATCTTAATTTTGTATGTTTAATTTATTGTTTATTCAAAATCAGCCTAAATTGTTCCGATGTTGATGGTGTAAGGAAAGATGGTTTGTTGATGTTTACAAACATACTGTCAAGAAAAATAACTCCAGTGTAGAGCCTTATGTGAACGAGAATTCAACTAAAACTTGACAATCTCTGTGTGCCCAATAGTGTCAGTGTAACAGGCAGGTTTACTGCTCTCTCTGAAGAGAAATAGCAGTTCAGTTTGTTTGTTAAGGGATACACCTTTTAGTAAAGTGTGTGTAATTTCTTATTAGTTCTTGTAGATGGATGATTATTTTAGGGTGAGAACCTTATTTTGTGGCAGTTTTTATTTGTTGGGTTTGGGACAGAAGACAAAGTTCGTGGCTTCTTATATGTAAGAAGTTATGATTTGTATTTCTGGTGTCTTATAAGTCTTTGGGGACTGGACACAACACAGTAAATAACATAAATAGGTTTATTTTTTCTGACTTACAAATAATTGTAAAATGCAATATAAAAAGTTGACTTACACTCATCTACATCAGGATCAGAGTCTTCATCTTGATGTATGTTGCTAAGGCCACTGGAGGGCACACTCTCCTCCTGATGCTGCTGCTCTTTGAGGCTTCCCTCCTCAGCCTCTGTGCGGTTCAGGCTCATCGACTGGAGAGGGCTGGAGTCAGAAGAGGAGAGAGGACTCACATCTGTCACTGTATCGTCTGACTCTTCTGCGTGGCTGGCGGGCACATCCCGAGATCGTGCTGAGCCCACTCGGGTCCTTCTCATTCCAGGGGATAAAGAAGACCTGTTGGACCTGGGAAGGACGGGAGAGTCTAAACTGCCTCTCCTATTGCTACTGCTACAGGAGCTCTCTGAGTCTGCATCAACGCTGGCCTCAGTCGAAGTAGGGGATGGACTTCGGGTGTGCCGATTTCTTATCCGTTTTTTTGGAGATTGTTTATTTCTCCCTTTTGAGTGTTTAGCACTGGACTGTAATGATTCTTCTTCAGACTCGGTTGGACTCTGGTTGTGCAGATCCTTATGATCTGTCTCTCTGGCCTCAGCCAGCAAAGCCATAAATCTTCCATTGGGCCTTTTAGAGTACAACTTAGAGTCTTCCTCACTATCACTGCTATTATTGATGACTTTATCTGATGTGCAGGCAACGGATGGTACCCTACTCCTCTCATCTTCCTTTGATGGACAGCTGTTGTCTTTCTTTTCTGCCCTGCTGCTACTGATGTGCTCAACTGGCTTCAGGTATTTTCCCGTCCCATCACACCTTAGGGAACAACCACCTTTTGTGTTTTCAGTCTGTTTTTCATGCAGCCCCTCATGTGCTGGTGGGGTCTGTTTGTCAACCTTCAAGCCTTTCTCCAACTTTTTTCCTCCATCCCTGCTGTCATCACAGTCACTGTCAAAGAACGAATGATCCACTTCACCTTCTAGATCACTGGGATTGAACATGGCAGTCTTCCCCCAACACACTGGACCTGTAACAGTGTAAAATTGAGACTTTAGATAATCTAAAGTGCAGATGGTCAACTACTACTACAAATTACATATACTTGATGTTGCAGGTAACAATTCTTCAAACCATGCTGCTGTGTTTAACAAATTGAAAGCATTCTTTCTACTACTCCACTGCATCAATTGGGTTTCAGTCACTTCCACACATGAAAAAAATCAGTTAACAAACTCTTTAAACTTGCTTAAATTGTGTTATGCATCCAGAGATTAAAGCCTTCATTAAACGTTTGTGACATACCTGTTGTGAGCTATCAGTTTAGACTCCACTAGCTGCACTTACAACCTGCATTATCGCACAAAGTAGCGTTGTACAAAAATGTATTCACACTTGATGCAGATGTTCTCTGAGATGGATTACACATCTAAAGCAGATTTCCAGAATTCGCTAGGTGATTTACAACCCATAAAGACACACGTGGAAATGGAAAATTGATGTTAAGAAAGATACTGTAAGATGCATTTAATAATGTTATGTTAAGTATATTGTACGTGAATTGTAACGTTAGTTAAGGAGCAAAAACGTACACATTAGCTAACGTTAGGTCCTTTAAGGTATTTTTATTTCAATAGATATTCAATAAAAAGATATCTACCGTTAAATGTGACGAATGTATCAATACAATTTAGCATACCATTTGGACAAACCTGCCAAGACAACAGCACTGTTACAACAGACACTTTAATAAAATATATTAGCTACCTTAAAGCTTTAAACCTAGAGCGCACACGTTGGGTTGGCAGCGAACTAAAGCAGCTAGCATAACTTAAGTCCCACTATACGTTAGGGTTAGCTAACTTTAGCCTTATGACAACGGTTCCTTACCTGGCGAAAGGTCGCACGATAAGCCTTGTTTCACGTTACAGTTGCATGTACTTGTTTAAAGAGGACATGTATTCCGTTAAGAAGACGGATAAATGAAACGAAACCCGCATTAACAAACACAATCTTCGTTACGCGGGTTACAGCTGACTGCTGCGGTGGTGCCTAGTAACTATGCAACGTCACTTCCTGGCAACGGTTTCTCTGTTTGTAGTCTCGTGCGTCAAGCTTTCACTAAATCAGATTGGTGTCAGGAAAATTTAACAAAAAATGTGTGCGTAAACAAAAATAATAATAATAAAAATGATATCAAGTTAAAGTGACCAATTTGATTACAATATTTGCCAACTCAGTCATAATACCATATTAGAGCCCGTATTGAAAAGCCATGAATTAAAAACAACTCAAGAATAAACATAAAACAAAAGAGTTTGAGTTATAAAGTGTTAAAAGTTCTTTTTAAATTTGCAAACGTTGAGAAATAAGTGACACAAGGCATATCTGTGTCCTATGCAAAAAGATCCACATTATGTACCACTTACAATAATTTATGTAGATAATATATATTATGTTCCATTAAAAACATCTTATTTCCAAAACGGCTCCTTGGTTTAAGTTAACATCAGACTAACAAAGAACAAGACGAGTAGACATATAAGAATATTATGAGTGAGTTTGGTGAGTCTGCTGAACAATTATAGTGTGTTTCTTTGTTTTTGTTTGCCTGATTTTCTATTAAATACATTTCATTCAAAATTCTTATATTTTGTCAGATTCTTGTGTGACACGCATCAAAATATTTATCCAGTCTGGCTACTCACAATGCATTTGTTTACCTTCTGTTTAAAATTTACAGAGAGATACAAAACAAAATATTACACTGAAGTGATTCATCTTTTTCACCTAAAGGTTTAAACTACTTAAACATACCAAGAATCAGAACTGGTAGAGGAATAGACAGAAGGTCATATAGTTTTTCCTTGGGGATCCATTATGCCGAAGTAACTGCTTCCCCTGGTGCATACCCATTAACAAGAGAGGGGATTATCTGATGGCGCGTCCCCTGACATTGCAATTTGTCACGGGTTTTCTCTTAATAACATTGTTAGAGCTAGAAGTGACACACACTAATGAAATGCCAATGTCCCGGGACAATAGAACTTGGGTGAATCTATCGTATGAACCTGTGTCTGGTCACTGTCATAGAATTTACATGCCAATGCAGGATGGGTAGAGATGGGGATTGAATGGGGGTATTTCTGTCACACTCCCATACTTACACAATCAGCCCATGGACAAGAGTGTCACAAAGACTGACAATAAGTTTCTGCAGTTGGAGCGCTAAAGATTTTTAAGAAACTCATTTTATTATGCTTGCTGGGGAGAAGAGAAAAAACGTCTATTTGACTCTGACAACTGACTGGTTGTAAAAACTCAATTACAGGGAGTTATTGTTTTATAATAATGGGCTGTGTCAGAGGGATCAGTACAGATCAGGCCGCATTCAGGAGCAGCTACGAGCAGTTCTCAGAGTGAGACCAGGGGGCGCCTGGGGGTCCTTTGGGTCCATAACAAATTTAGGATATATATAGTCTTCTGTCTGTCATATATACAAACAAAAACAACACAAATTGAGGACACAGTAAAATATAATGTACAGTTTAATTATTAGTAAGTCCAGTATACAAGGTCCAGCAGTTAAAGAGATTCAAGACCTTGTTTTACATCACTCATGATGGATTCATTTGGTAACATTCAGCAATGATTCAACTCTGTTGACCTTGATGCATTGTATTTCTCAATGAAATGAGTGTATTTAATATACATATTTCACCAGCCTTTGTCATTTTAAATGGCAAGTACAGAAAGTACAGTATATGATATGATCAATGTCTCTTTTAAATACAAAATTACATCCATCTCTATGTGGGACTTGACAAAACCGATTTTAAAATCATTACAGAAATTACTCAAACTTGCATTGTTGGACACATTTATACAAAAACAACCAAGTTTTGCAGATGATTTACCGATGCCACATGATGTCCGTCTGAAGGGCTGTGAGAGCTCAGATGGTCTTTGGCCTCTGAGGCAGACACAGATTATAATACGCAGTTTGATCCCAAAAATCTGGTGATTTCCAGCCACACCAGCCCTGAGAAAGACAACATACACAGCACATTCAACACTGTACCATGCACGAAAATGTATACTTTACAGAGAGAAATGCAGCCAGTGGAGATGTTTACGACAGTTACCTTGTCCGTGATAAGCTGTAAGTCCTCTGCTCCAGTGTAATGTGGATCTAGGATGAGATAGCGGATCTGCCCGGTGGTCTCACTCCATGCCACTCCAAGAATAGTGTGAGCTAAAACTCCCCCTCCTGCAACACAGGTGAAAGTAAAATGAAAAGATGCCTTGCTTTCATCTTAGGAAAATCCTATACCAAGATTTTACCACGGTTGTAACCCACATTTTTCACAGCCGACATTTAAAATTATATTTTTTTGTAAATTATAAGTATATTCATGTATTCAGTATAATCAAAGAAACCAACTTATAAAATAAGTATTACTGTTCCTCTTGTGTTTACAGATGTTGCTGATGTAAACAAACCTTTCAAACCATCAGAAAACAACTTACATTAAGGAAATCCTGCATTTACAAAACTTATTGACCGATTTGGGAATTATGGCAGGGTTAAGCTGTAATGGAAGTAGTATTCAGATCCTTTATTTATTTTATATGATGTTTTTGGATTAATATTACTGATGCATTGATGTATGTTGTATTATACAACATTATACAACATATAGGTGTATGGTTGTGTAGTTTGATCTACAGCAATGTATCATATTCTACAAGCTCATCATTTGTTTGTATGATGCTGTTGTGTAAGGACCACATATTTGAAAAAAAGTTAACTTTTCATGAGCTCAGGAAAACAGCCCTGTTTTCAGCTCTGTGACTATGCATTTTCCATTGACCCATTGGTTTACATTTACATACATTAAACATTTAATTGTTTTAATATCAATTATATATTGCTATTGTGTTGCTATTACTATTGTTTTAGGTAAAGGTTCTGTAGTACTATATGAAAATATATGCACAAATATTATGGTTTTAAAGTTTGTGTAAGCTGTTTAAGTTGAACTAACCAAAAATCGTGTAACATATCTCAGAAATAGTTCTGAAAAAGTTCAGACATCCAGCTTACCGATCATAATAGGAGTCCCTTCAGTAAGGAAGTGGTTGGCCAGTTCTCTGCCTTTGGAGGCCAACTCAGAACCTTGACTGAAGAGTACAAACATTTATCATCAGATAATGTATAATGGACAACAATGTGCTATCCATATGCTTGTAATCACACAACACACCTCACAAACATGATCTTGGAAGTTACTTCAAGCAGCTGGTTCAGAACAGCCTGAACTTCGATGGATCCGATCCACTGACGTGATCCAACAAACGATCCCTGTTTGTCTCCAACATCCACCAAAGCCTGAAAGGGATAGGGCCCATGAAAAAGCAGCCAATTGGAAAATTCTATTATATTGTGATAGTCTATCATATCTACAGGACCACTACTATACCTGCTGGATCTCCTTGTGGGTGGGCACAGACCGCTCTGTGTAGCCTTGCTGCTGGAACCAGGAGCAGATGGTCTGGAGGGAGCGATAAGCACAGCCCCAGCCATTGTCATCCATATGGTCCTGCATGTAGTGGTGATAGCTGTAGATCCCCTGGACCAAGTAGACCTTGAGAACACACACACACACACACACACACACACACACACACACACACACACACACACACACACACACACACACACACACACACACACACACACACACAAGAAAAGACAAATCAAAGTTACTACTCCTTGCAGGGTACGTCTCAGCATCCATCTTCAAAAAAGGACATAGAGTGCGACAGACTTTAATTTGGTGATTAGCTGTACCTTTCCATTGTCCAGGGTGGGATGTGTGAGGACCAGGTGAGGATTTCGGAGGTAACCGTCTTTGTAGGGCTCATTGGGAAAGTGGTAAGCATTGGCTCTTCTAAAATAGGGCCAGTCATCTGGTAGCTCAAACTGTTGATGCAATTCCTGCTTAGACGGAAATATTGTGTAAAATAAAATGAAAAGATATGCTAGAAAAGAACATAAATCAGGTCTCAAGCAAACACAAGACTATGCTTTTAACTGGTGTTTCAGCCTAGTGTTCATCTCTATGCAATATGTTGTATTAGGCATTTAAGATATATATGGATATATATAACAATTTTATTGTCAGGGGAACTGCTTGTTTGTTTACCTTGCGCTGTGTCTCTAGTTGGCTGTCAGGCACTCCTGCTGGGTAAACCGCGGTCACTAGTCCTTTTGGCTCTGGAAGAAGGAAGTGAAGCGGTTCAGGAACCAGCAGCGTGGTCCCCTTCATGTGCTGCAGGGTCACTTTCTCCATCTCACACAGCTGATGAGTTAGTGCCTCCAACAGGTGCTCAAAAGCCCTGCAACATCAGAACAGAAATCTTTCACAGTGAGACAGTGTGTGAGCACAAATGGCAGTAGCTGCTGGTGAGTCAGGTCAGAAATATAAAACCAATGCTTTTAAAGTGAGACATACTCTTTGATTGTGTCGCTGCAGGTGGTACGGACGACACAGTCCATGGGAAGAGTTGTAGACAGGAAGAGGGATTTCTGGACTGTTCTGCTGAGGATCGGGGCAGAAAGAGGGCCCGTCTTTGTCACCTCCATCATGAGGCGAAGGTTAATGACATTCTGAAGGACAAGTGTGACTTTACATTCAAGCTCAAATACACACAGACACCAATAAGACATGGGTGAATATCCTTAGGTTTGGAGAAAACAATTAAATACAGGACCGGCAGGAAAGTGTGTCTGAAAAGAAACTTTCTGACATTGAATAGTCTTCTGTGTAGGCTACAATGAACATCAGGCCAGGCACTGAACGCTTTCATGATTCCCTGATTGTAGTTCACACAAAGGCTTCTATTTCTGCTCATTGTATGAAAGGATAACAGTGCCAGTGTTATCACCACCCAACAGTGAGTCAAACACAATGGCTTCCTGACAGGTACAGCAGCCCCAGTGGCCTAATGGATAAGGCACTGGCCTCCTAAGCCAGGGATTGTGGGTTCGAGTCCCATCTGGGGTGATTAGCAGAGTATTGTGGCAAAATTCAGCTTGGCTGACAACCTTGGCTGGTTGTGGAACGCAAGCCACTCTCTGCTATGACAGCATTTTTACAAATTACAAGAATCACTGAGAATGAAAATGTTGCAGCCCTACTTGCAATACAAAATACTATGAAGATGCTGTGGCAGATACCTAGTGGTTCACAGAAAAAAAAGTGTTTCTCAGTTCAGTATTTCAGATGTGTACATACCGCTGCTGGACTTTTTCTGCTTTTCTTTTTTGCAGATCTCTTGCCAGCACTTTCTTGTTCATCTGTCCTGAAATACATTAAAGCCACAATTACAATTCAGGCAAACAAAGAAAAGCCAATTCCATGTGTAAAAGAAACAATTTTAAAAAGGTGAACTTACTGTATCCATTGAAGTATCTCTTCACACAGAGTGTTTGGAGTTATTTCTTCAGGTGTTGCATGAACACCTCTGTTTGGCCAAATAATAACAGGACTGTCACACACTGTTAGAACACAGGATTCAGATTTCACCTGAGAGCGAAGTGTCTCAAATGTCGTCGAGATTACTTTTTGCATGAGCAGTGCTGAAAGAAGACAGACAGACAGATTGACGGACAATATTAGTCGTTTACCATCGCTACTCTGTTATGACATTATATTTTATACACTGGGGGTATTGTATTATTCTTTCTTCCATACGCATTTCTCATGTATTTTATCTATTTGCCAATTTTAAAACACTAATGTGCAACATTCATTAATCTTTATCTAATACTGTAAATTCAATTAGAATCTTGCTATCCGCATTTTTCTTTGGTTTACTGTGTTCTCTACCTATTTCCTCAGTGGCCCAGCTCCACTTACACTACTAATGCCAAAAATGTTTACATTTAATTACACCAGGAAGCAGGGCCACAGCTGCCAATGAGGAGCCCAAAGTCATGTCCTTGTTTTTGTGATTAATTTGCACTCTACAATTACAGATACATTTTCACATAAGGAGTTTTACAGCCTGATTCAGATATTTCTTTAAAAGTTAAACTTCTGTTTAATGTTTAAGGCCAAATACATGAATTAAAGAATGGGATTTTATACTTCCCCACACATATTAGGCCTATATTCCAGGCATTGTGTGGAAGACTAAAAGTATAATCTAGCAGTTAAATTCATATATATATATGAAGTAAGGAATAAAACTGATTTAACAATCTTTTGGACTCTTGACTCCAGTATTTCTGAAATCCTGGCTATGATCCTGCAGGTAGTGCTAGGAAAAGTACTTATTGGGTTGTGGAGGCTTCAGTATTAGATATATGATGCAGTATCAGAGGACACAGAAGTAAAGAAAGTAAACCAGGTGATCAAAACAGGCACCTAACTCATGCAAGCACTAATAAACGGATGCAGGGACCCCACTTAACCTTAATGTGTGAAACTTTGGGAACCATTAAGTTCAAATTTGGAGTAAAACGTCAGTGAACGTACCATCTGTGCTGTCCAGCCGACATTTGAGCTCCAGCGGCCCTCTGACACGAAGGATGGTCCCTGTGTCGGAGGCCTGGGAGTCAGCAACAACCTGAGACAACACAAGAGAAGTTAGTAGGAACTGACAGAGTTTATAACGTTAACGAGACACATGTGTTGTCTTATTGACTGCAAGCAAAGAACCGAGGAGCCGCTGTCAGCTGTCAGTACGCTAATCTACAAGCCAACAGCGAGCTGAGAGTAATATGAAGCTGAACAGAAAGGGACAAGAACGATGATTTATCTGTAAACTCACCATTGTGGAGGTCCAGTAATGTAAAATCACTAAGCTATGAGCTGCTCTCTAGACACTGGAGGCTGACATGTCTGTTGTAGGAAATATTCAACGTGTCTCTGGCTGCTGCACTCTATTGGACCACACTGGCCCCGCCTACTTATGTTGCATTCAATGTAACTCGTAATTGGAACATTTAATTTGGAACATCCCTTTTGTCTTTTTTTTTTTTTGTGTGTGTAAAATTAGATTACCGTAACCATCTGACTACAGTTACAAGTACAACCAAACCTATTTTAGCAGAGTTGCATTGGTTCCTATTCCTATTCTGAGTTTATGTTACTTAAATGTGTCCCATTGTAGTTTTCAGTTAATTAAATTAAGACACATTTTTTTTTTTTTTTTTAACATTCATCTACAAACTGTCCATCTATGGATTTACAACACAAATAGGGACAGTTTACATATATATGTACATAGATAAATATAAAAAAGAGTTATAATAAAACACTGTGTCTCCATATTAACAGAACTGTTGTATGCAAAGACTGACTAATGGGCATCACACATTATATGAGCAAATAACAGAGAGAAAATTCTTCTTTGGTCCTCTCTTCCTCTTCTTTCGTGATAGTTTAATACTGTAATGTGATTTTTAAGAGATCGACAGAAATATATAAACAATGGCTGAATGTTAAGCACTTTACAGTGGGGAAAAAATAATAATTCATAATAAAAAACCTACTATAGACGCTACTGCTTCAAATATTGTCCAGTCAATCATACTGCTCACTGCTAATGAGCGTACTATAAAATCTCCTGTAGTGGTTCTGGTCGTACATTATCAAGTGTGTCTCTGTTGCTGGTTCTGCTTTACTAGGATTAAGTGATGCATACTATATCTAATTATTCCAGCATCAGTGCCCATATCACCCGTCTTATGCAACACTTGAAAACAAAGTGTTATATTTTTCATATCTTTTTATTCAGCTATTTGTTTGGATTTTACAGTTTTTTTTTTTTTTACAAGGTTAGAGAATGCAAAGGAGAGTGCAAAGAATCAAATTGAATACATGGCAAAACAGTGAACTATATTTCTCTGTGCATTGCCTTATTACCTGAGGCTATTACATGTCAGCCATGCGTGCTAGGCCAGGCAGGCTGAGTGGACACATAGCTCGAGACACTGTATGTCATTGTTATGCTTATAGAAGTATATTGTTGCTTGTAGCAAACATTGCTACCAAATCTCTTTGAACATAACAACAGAAAAATAAAATCCTCATTAAAAGCTGCATTTGTGGACAAATCAGATAGCAGTACATAATTAACTATATTTCGCAAACAAAGGATGTTTTTTTCAGCATATGAATTATGGGTAAACTACATGAATATTTGTACTCTTTAATATGTTTAAACTTACTAACAATTCTTCTTTAGGATTGCAAAGTCAAATAAAGCACATGCCCGGAAGCAGAGTTGACAATGAGGCCGAATTTAGGTCAGTCATGTTTTGTTCTAACATTGCTTCTGGATAAAATCATCAAGGGTTTGTTAAGATTACTGGGAAAAGGAGCTGAAACGGTCCTTCTCAACAATAACATTCAAAATCAATTGTCTCAGTGTAGCAGACACCCTTGACGGACCCAATGTACATGTCCGGCTTGTAAGCATATACTTACAGATGAAATGGTGGCACTGTATACTGCCTTCACTTGAATAACCAGTGGACCAGTTAACTCTACTAGAGTAAATGTAACATTACCAAAGAAGATTTACTGTAAGTATCTCTTAGAGGTCTTTATGTGCTTGAATGTTGCAATCTGCCTGAAAATTGTTTCTTCTTGTTGAATCGAGTGCAGCTATGTATATACATTGTAATTGTCTGACGTCATAGCTGTTAAGTTCCTGTGGATTTAGTGTGCTGGGCTTGATTTGTGATGAGATTAGCTATCTCTCTGTGTATCATAAACAGAGTGTTAGGGTCTCTGGAAGAGTGTGTGCAGGGACTGCATACATGACCGGCACCATGGAAACACACACATTACAAATGCACATTTATCATATGGACATAAGAAAAGTTTATACTTTGATTCATTTGGTTGTGTAATATGTAACAATGAGAAAGTGGCTATATACATACAGGTCTAAAGCGCTTTACAATTGGATAGTTACTGACAGTCAGTAAAAGCATCTTGAACTGATTTGTTTGTTTATTTGTTTGTTTTTGCCAAGATGATACAGAATAATATGTTAATGGTGACTATAGGCTATTTAATATGTTTAGGTTTAGATCACAATTTTAGGCAGGTGCCCATATGTCCATTTTGAAATATATCTATGAGACTTGTCTGAATTCAGACTGCTGAATCCTCAGATTCACTACAGATAAACTTTAAAATATATTTCTTGCACAAAACAAGAAATGTGAACTTTACATTGTTGTATCATTGGAAGGATTACATATTACTCTAGTTGCCATTTTGGAGACTTATGGCTATCATTCAACAACAGTGCTATATGTACTTTTTAAATAATGCAAGTAGTAGTTAGAGTAAGACACATATGAGACAGGACAAGGAAAGATAGAGAAACAAAGAAACAAAGAAAAAATACAGATAAACTTAAGTAATTACAGTTAGGTATACAAAAAAATTGACAGTAAATATTAATCTTAATAAGAAACAAAATAAAACTATGAGGGACAAAAATTAAAAAAACTAGACAAAACAAAAGAGGGCATAAATCAAAACAGCAAAAAGAGCAAAACATCCCCACAAATCTTAAGTGGTATTTTACTGGAATACACTTTCTTATGAGACAAGAAAAATAATTTGTCATTCAATTAAATCATTTAAAAAACATACAAAAGAGGGATTGCTGTTTCTCCATTTACAACAGTGAATATGATATTTACCTATAAGAATGATGATATTAATCCTGTCAGAAATGGGTTTAATTTAAATTGTCCACATAAAAGAAAATATAAGAAATGTCAAAAGTCGGAATGCCATTAACCTTAAGTGATAACCAATGTCTGACCAAAATCTTTTGGACATAATCTTTTTATTATTATTATTATTATTATTATTATTATTATTATTATTATTATTATCATTATTAAATAGGTCATCTTCTCCACAATCAGCAGAGAACATGCAGGGTAATTAACACTGAAATGTAACATACACATATCTTGCCTCTGGATATCAAATGACCTTAGCTTTTCACAACTGGTCTCTTACTGAGGCATGAGTGGGGGCTTGGGTGGTGGTCCTCAGTCATTACCCAGTGCTAATGTAGTCACCCCAGGACAACATCTCAGAGACAAACAGATGATAGAACGAGAGAAGATTTTGCCCAAATGGGTATTTATTGTATGTTACTGTTACTGTAAGTACTGTATTAAGTACAGTTTGAAGGGTAATTTTACTTATACTTTTTCCACATAATATTATGTTATCAACTATATATTTCAAAGGAGAATATTGTTCTTTTTATTCCACTACATTTATTGCACAGTTTTAGTTACTAGTTACGCTGAAGATTCAGATTTGTACACACATTATAATCACTGTGTAAAATATGCCCTCTTACATATTAAACTTCCCCATAGACAATACATAGCCAATAGTAGCTTCAGCTCAAGAAAATGCTACTTACACAGTAATGCATTAGTAGATTAAAGATCTATACTTCTTCCACAGCTGTCTGATTCTACATAGCAGAGAAGCTGTCTGACTTCCTTGCTTCTTTTAGACACTTATTTTCAGATACATATTTTCTTTTCTGCTTTATTCAGGACCTCTTCTTGTTTCCTTATAGCCCTGAATGAAAGCTGCCTCCTCCTTCCCCACATCTCGACATTCAAACTTCAACCACAGATAACCAAAAACAGCCTATATAACAGCAACAGCTGAAGGACGAGTTGCGTGATCAACTTTGGCTCAATTTTGTGAGCAGCGAGCGGATAAAGATGTTGTGTCCTCCTCTTTCTGTAGATGCAGATCCTCAGCTTTGTCCTTCACTTGGATAGGAGGGTCAGAGAGAAATTATTTAACCATTTTCTGCTGATACTCAGTCCAGCCTCCACTGTGGGTCAGTGCTTCTAATTTTGTAGGACAGATGCTTCAGATTCCATTGACTCTCCTCTTCACCTCTGAGAAAACAGAATAGTCTTGTAGCCAAGACTACTGCTATAAGAGTTTTTCTGTCCTTACTGTCTGTCCTTAAACTTAATTCACTATCTCACAAATCAGAAGGTTCATGTTGTAGATAATCATGACAAAGAAGTTTGTTCATGCCAGCGCAGTTGGTGCCATTTCCTCTGGGTCCTGGTGAGAGGCGGCAACAACAGCTGTCACCTCTGTGGTGGCAGATGGGTCACTAAGACCTGAGGATAGCCTGCAAGATTTGCTTCAAGACGTCACTACCGTTTATTTGCATTAGCCTCGTGGATGGAAAAACACTGAAAGAGGAAATCTTGTGTATTTCTGTCACATAGAATGAGAAAGATTGACTCTGAGTGATGCTGTCATGCAGTGACATCAGTATTTCACTGTAAAATTTAAATAAGCATGCACTAGGAAAAAAATAGCAAAAACAAAGACATTAACCCACTTAATTTATTTGCTCTTCATCATCTCTCAACTTTTAGGCGAATGTGCTTGTAAAGAAATGTTTTCATTTGGCTAACGTTAATCAGCTCAGTGAGTTGGCCTTTAAAAGAAGGATTGTTTGACAGGACCCTTACATCTGAAGACATACAGTAAGCCCTCTTTCTACTGACGACGAGATCAAAACAGGTTGTGTTACCGTAAGATCATAAAACAAGAGCTCAATGAACTTCCCCTAAATCCCTCCTTTAAAGTGTACTGCAAATTAAGGAGATTCTGCTAAGGACATTACACACATGATTCCTACCAAATATTTTCAATATGCTACGACAAAAAGACTAAAGAAGTCCAACGACCTAAACCAGGAGTCAGCAAATACCCTGTAAGCTTTTAATGTTTATTTATTGTTATTCATTTAAGAAAGAAAAATGATTTAAACTTTGCACCATTTCTGATTGACTACCACCGCCATTTATCTGGAGATCAAATATTTGTTTGAATTTAAGGGGAATTTA